CTAGTAAATTCCACACAGTAAATGGTTATGAATAGTAAAACCACTTGAATATCTCACAATAACAGCTGATGTGCTGACTGGTTCCAAAAATTTTTCTTCAAGCAATTAAAAAAATATATATCCTTTATTTTGAAAGAATCTAAGTCTCTAACTTCTGTCCCTTATAGCAAGTCACTCTCTGGCAAAATTATTACCTGATTGGGTCATTTTGCTATTGTCCAGCAAAACAATTAATATTTGTCCAGCAAATATTTCAAAGACTCTCATAACTTCAACTTGCTAAGTAACCATCAAAATGGAACTCATATTAGTTTTCTTTATCTACTCAATCTCCATTAATTCCTTACTGTAATGACTTAGAAGACTTTGTTTTCAATGTTACCAATCTATTTTCAGTAGACCCTTCTTTTTTGCAAAGAAAAATTATTGGTGTTAAGTAAAATCTATGATAGATCATTAGTACTCAAACTGTTTACTCTCATAACTTACTACTAATAATTACCATTTGTAGAGAATATATCTCTGAAGGTAAAAAGTTACTGTCCAGGAACTTTTCCATGAGACAAATCATTGCCACTATTTACTTCTGAAACTCTTTTGCTTAAGAAAAATAAGTCCCTTTAAAAGTTTTTTTTGATTGCACAGCAATGTGAATGCATTTAACATTGAACCACACAGTTTAAAAAGGATAAGATGGTAAATTTTACATTATGTGAATTTTACCACAATTTAAAAAGCTTTTATAGATTAGGAACTGGAAAATGTGACACATGTACTACACAAGTCCCAAAGTTTTGTTTTCAGTTACATAGGGCGTAGTACCAGTCCCCCTCAACTTATTTGAACAGTGGCCAAATACTGCACCTAGTTTAAAAGACTCTGAAAATTAATTAACCACTCACTGAAAAGGTAGTTCATTTCATATTAATGTTATCCCTTCCTGAAAGTAATCATAATCTTGGTTCTGAACTATAAGAGATTTTTGTTATGTATCTAAACAATAGACTCCTCTTTCCCTGTAGTTATGATTCAAAACCATGGCAGCAAGCATAAGAGATAGCATGTGGGAAACGGCAGCCACAGCATAAATTCTACAGAAAATAGAAACTAAAACTAGGCTTTACATAACCGAACACAAACAAACTGCAATTAAACAGTAATATTTATGCTTATAAGGTGTTAGAAAACAAAAAGGATAAATAGTAGTAACAGTCAATCAGCTAATGCATATCATCAAAATAGCGAAGCTTTATGTCAACAGGCTATTTTTATTTACCATTTGCTTTTGGACAACAGCTATGTTTTAAAATAGGACAAGTCCCCAATTACTTTTGCTATAATAGCCCATAAATGGAAATAAATACTCAAGCATTCACATAATGCCTGCATCCTACTGTAAATAACACTTGAGTGTCTGTAGGTATCATCCATAGTTCACAGATGCAAACTGCTAAATTACATTACCTGTCTCAGGTCATATTTTTGAAGGCAATCAAAAAGCATTTGAAATAATCATTTATAAAAGTCTATACACTATTATCTATACATTAACAGTAAACTACTAGTCAAGTAAAAAGGTGGGCTTTTGTTAAATAATAACAGTGCTCCATGTACATGCACATACCTGAACTGTGCTAATGATTTTCACTTCATATTAAATAAGTATAACCATGTCAAGCTTGTATATTTTTCACCTGCTCATTTTGAAACTCTCTGTAGAATTTGACTACAGTAAAATGACAGCTTGGTTATTACCTTTAATGTAAGAAATTTCCTGGCAAAATTGGGAAACTAGTGACAACAAAGTGAAACTGATACTTTCCTAGTTGAGTTTCACTCTTGGTTTCTTTCAGGGCATAGACAAACCTGTCCATGTAGAAACAATACCATTGCTTCTGTAACATAACTGCAGAAGGGAAGATAAAGAATAGCAAGACATTTTACTTAACAGCCTCAGCCTACCTATAGCATTTTTCCTTGTCTAGGAAAAAAAAAGTTGTGTGTGGGGGGGAAATAACCAGGATCAGCACAGCAGCCATTCTTTAGTTCTTGGCATTAGTGGTGTCCCAGACTCTTTCATTTAATTGTATTTACTCCAAGGGGTGTTTGTTTGTTCTGGACCATTTTGCTGAATATTATTGCTGTCTTAAGAACAATGTACTCTCAGACCTAGATGGTTTCATGAGTGAACTATTTCAAACCTTCAAAGAAGAGAGTTCTTTGGCTATTTAAACTACATCAGAGCAGAGGAAGAGGAACTCTTCCCAGTTCTTTTTAGGAAACCAGCATAACCTTGACATCAAAACCTAGCAAAGATAACAAAAAAGTGAGTATAAAATGAATCTCAATTACTGATTTTAAATAAAAATGCTACCAAAGGAACCAATATATACTTAAATACTACACCATGACTGAGCGTAAGATTGGTTCACAAACTGGAAATATACTAAAATAATTCACTACCTTATTAGGTCAAAGATGAATAGTACCTACAAACGTTATGATAGATGTCAAAAAGCCATTTGACAAAATCCAACTTCCATTCCTGATTTTTAAAAAACGTGAATAAGTAATGAAGAGACATTATCTTAACATGACAAGAAATATATATACATACCAAATGAATACCCAATATCTATCATTCAAAATTGTTCTCAAAGTGCTAGCTAATGCAATAGACCCTCCTCATCTCCAGTAGCAAAAATGACTTTGGATACAATCCAAATAGTTCTCTGTAAAAATCAAGAGCTAGAAATATTAAACTTTCTTGATAAATAGAATTTATTAAAAATTAATGGTAACTTCATATATAACAGTGACATAGTAAAAACATCCCCAAACTAAGAAACAAGATAAAAGATGGCCAGAATCACTGTTATTATTTACCACTGTTCTGGGGAAGCCAGCAATTCATTAAAGCAAAGAAAGAAGGAGATAACATTATTATAATTAGATTATTGTTTTCTTAGAAAATTCAAGTGAAACAATTTATTAAAACTAATAAATTTAGAAAGTTGGCCAGATACATAAATACTCATCTACATACTGGTCACAAAATATAAGAAAAAAATGGTTAAATCCCTAGAAGATTATTTTAATGAAGTATTAACAGTTTATTTTAAATTTTATCTCAAAGATAATACAATTATGTTCAAGAAAATTTGGAAAAGGAAAAATGAAGAGGGACTTGTCCTGTGAATTACTAGAAAATGTAATGTCAAAGCAGATTGGTATTTGTAAAGAAAGAGACAAAAAGATAAAAGCAACAGATAAGTCTAAAGAAAAGATGCATGTACACATGAGAATTTACAACATTAAGGAGGTATTTCTAGTTAGCTGGAAGAGAAATAGTTTCAACAAATGATTTCAGGAAAAATGGCTGCCCATTCATGAAAAACAAAGAAAAAGTTAAATCCTTATCATATACGCTATACAAAAATAATTTTCAGATGTTTTAATGAGTAAATCATAAAAAGAGAATTGAAAATATTTTAAGAATTTTTTGATTTTAAACATATATTTAAAAATTAACAAACATTTGACTTTAAACATATATTTAAAAATTAACAAACATGGATTTAAAAATTCTTAAGATTTGAGATTTAAAAAACCTGGGCATTTTAACCAAAGCATTGATAATTCCTGAAAATATCTGCTATATTTCATAAAGGATTAATAAATCTGTAGTCTAATGAGTAACAGATAATTTTGAAGAATATTGGGCAGGACGTCGTAAATGATAGTTAACTATAATTTGGTACATCTACACAATGCAATGCCATGCTGACATTACAATAAAACAGAGCTACATATGGCAAGACTTTCACTGTATGTATATATTTAATCTGAAAGAAATTACGGAACAGTATGCATAATGTCATTTTCATAAGAAGGTGAAATAACATGATTATGCACATAAAGGAAAGATGTGGAAGGCTTGGATTACATATCATTGGGGAGAGGTCTGAGAAGGATCTGACTTTCTGCTTTATATATAGTTGTATTATTTGTGAGTCCCTCCTTTCTCAAATGAGGACACAATACTTTTTAACAGAATACACTGCTTGCTTCTCTGCTACCTCTTATTTGAGTGTGTATTCCAACTGCGGCAGGGAGACAGCTCGTTTTCTTTTCCTTCAATTTCATGTCACTTCTTCACTTCCTTTACTACCATCTCTCCCTTATTATAACTTGTCAAAAGCATCTCCTGCGAGGTGAGATAAACACCACTTTACATAGCACAGCTGCTTTACTTTTGCTCCTTACGGCATAGCAATAAAAGCACAGCTCTTCTTAGATTATCCTCCCCCTTTCTACTTCTTGACAAGCACAGCTTTTTTTTGCCTGTAACTCGTTGCTCGTCAGTGTATACCGGCGCTGGGACTCTACCTAGCGCCTGGGTTCCCACCGCGGGCGGGGTTTGCTTCCGTTCTTTTTGCCTTGGCCACCCACTCCCTCCGTGACCCTCTGGGAAGTTACCCAACTTCTCATTGACCAGGCTATGATGACACCCCACAGGAAGGCAGAGGGGAATTGTGCAACCACTTTGGGAAAACAACAGAAAGAACCAATTAAGTTTTCGAAAGAGTAAGCACGACAGTACTTGATTCTAGGAGGCAGTCCCTCTCTAGAAGGCAAGTCAGGGACGCTCCTGGCGAGTCCACTGCTCATCTCGACACGGCAGGCCCTGCCACCCCCATTTCCCGGGCAAAGCAGCCGGGAGGAGTCCCTCCCCTGAAGCCGTTGGGGCAGGGGCCGACGATGCTACGCTGGCATCGCGGGCTCGGAAAACCCCCGCAGAGTCCGCTCAGGAGGAAGGACTCGCGTGGTTTCTCCCGCACAAAATCCCCAAACTGCACATTGGTCGTCTACTGCCGCTCCTCGGCTTCTCTCCCTGCGGCTTCCCTACTGTCAGCGCGTCTCTCTCGCTCACGCACACAAATTCTCTGTCACCGTGCCGACGGATTCGGACCCACCAATTCGTAAAGTTTCTTACTTACTCAATTCAGGGTTTCGGCTACACTCCCTCTCGCGTCAGGTCGCCGGCGCCCCGGCCGAGTGACTCCAACCGGAAGTTGCTTTTTGTTCCAGTTCAGAGGGCAGCGCCTGCGCGCGGAGCCATTAGCGCCTCGCCTTCCACCCGGCAAGGCCAGGCTAGGGCCCTTCCACCCCGCCCCGCGCAGCCCGGGGCTGCGCTGCTCTGCCCCGCCCCGCCCCGCCCCGTCCAGCCAAGTCCCCGCCTCTTAGGGAAAGTAAGGCAGCCGAGGGAGGGAATCCTATGTGAAGTTTAAAGGTCACTTGCGGGTCTTTCCTAGATTTTTTGCCAAACGATAAATAACCAGTAAATAAATAACCGTTAAATAAATGACATCAAACTAGCTATGAGTTAAACTACCCAAGAATCACCTGAGAAACAAGATGTAGTTTCACCGACCTACTCCTACAGGTTTCATTTCAGAGCAACTGGACTGAAGCCCAGGAACATGCGTTTTCGACAGATCCTCATGAACGTCTGTAATTAAAGGTTGTGAAAGCCCACACTCTGAAAGACACTACATATACGCATACCCATTTGGTTTCTCCCCTACTAATAATATTTTTCACTAAATGTACTTGTTAAAGAGGAATGGCTGGAAATGGAGGTACAACTTTATTAGAAATTTTCCCATGAATTAAGACTTCCCCATTATTCCAATTCCTAGCCATGTATGAATATTCTCTAAGATTCAAATCATAGATACAACAGGAAAGATACCGTTTCCTTTTAGAGCAAGGGATGAGGTTCTGGCTGCCCCAGTATCTCCCTATACTTCTGAATCGTGGATGTTTACACATTTTTCCTTAGGCTAGTTAAGTCCAAGGAAAACCTGCTAAGTTGCAGTGCATTCCGTCTAGTTATCTTGAATGTTGCTCTATACTTTTAAAAGTCAAAGCCTAAATATATTTGAAACAATCTCTTTAACAAACAGAAACTTCTCATCTATAACGTTTTGACCAGCTGAATAGTTTTCTTGTAGTGAGTTAAACATGACAACACAGTACTGCTTTAAAAAAAATATTTTTAACTTTTTTTAAAGAGCAGTTTTATATTCACAGCAAAACTGAAAGAAATGTCCAAAGATTTTCCATATTTTTCTGCCTCTACACAAGCATAGTCATTCCCTATTATCAACATCCCTTACCCTGGTGTGATGAAAAAAGCTGCTATAAATATCTGTGTGCAGGTTTTTTGTGCAGACATGTTCTCATCCCCTTTGGGAAAATACCAAGGAGTATGATTGTGCTGGATCATAAGGTAAGAGAATGTTTACTTTTGTAAGCAATTGCCAAATTGTCTTCCAAAGTGGATACCATTTTGCATTCCCACTAGGAATGAGTAAGTGTTCCCTGTCACTCCAAATCCTTGCCAGCATTTCATGTTGTTAAGTGTTTTAGATTTTGGCCATTCTAAGAAGTCCGTGTGGTATTTCATTGTTGTTTTAATTTGCATTTCCCTGATGACAAATAATGTGGAGGATTTTTTCATATGCCTATTTATTTGCCTCTGGTTTTCTTCTTTGGGGAGGTATTTGTAAAGGCCTTTGGCTCGTTTTTAATCAGGTTGTTCTCCAAATGCTGAGTTTTAAGTGTTATTTGTATATTTTTGATAACAAAAACATCCTTTATCAGATATGTCTTTTGCAAAAGTTTTCTCCTTGTCTGTGGCTTGTCTTTTCATTCTCTTGACAGTATCTTTTACAAAGCAGAAATTTTGATAAAGTCCAGTTTATACAGCACTGCTTGAACAAATTAAATAGGATGCTTTGAAGATTTCTGATTGATACAGTGGGATTTAGTAATATACTCAGAATCTAAAGCTGAATGCTTATGCATTTTGAAATATGGAGGTGCTAAAAACTTTGTATAAGGAAATAAGCTAGATATACACATTTCTTAAATACATGTTTTTCTCTCTTTCCACTCCTATGATGTAGTCATAAAGAGAAGTAGCTACATAATTCCACTATATGTGAAATCTGCATAAATGCTGGTAGAATTACTTTCTAAATAATGCTAAAGTGATATCAAACATTTTCCATTTCCTATCATGATGATTTTTTAAGAATTTACATATAATATGTTTTATAAAGGTTGGAAATTGAGTTGAGACATTTATTTGAGGAATAATCTTTTTAAATAATGACATAATTTTATTCCAACTTTCTTTCCCTCAAATTATTATATACCTCAAGTTAGTGAGCAGTGATGTGGCATTGGAGGTTGGGTATAGTGTGATAAAAATGAGGAACTGGCCGGGTGTGGGGCTCACACATGTAATCCTAACACTTTGGGAGACCGAACTGAGAGGATCACTTGAGCTCAGGAGTTTGAGATTTGCCCATGTCTCTTTAAAAATAATAATTAATTAATTAATTAAAAGAAAATGGGGGAATTGCAGGCCTTTTTAATATATTTTGGAATCTGGCCGGGCGCAGGGGCTCACGCCTGTAATCTGAGCACTTTGGGAGGCCAAGATGCTCTGATCACTTGAAGTCAGGGGCTCAAGATGAGCCTGGCCAATGTGGTGAAACCCTGTTTCAACTACAAATACAAAAATTAGCCAGGTGTGGTGGTGCACACCTGTAATCCCAGCTATACAGGAGGCTGAGGCGGGAGGATTGTTTGAACCTGAGAGGCAGAGGTTTCAGTCAGCTGGGATTGTGCCACTGCACTCCAGCCTGGGCAACAAAGAGAGACCCTGTCTCAAAAATATTTTAGAACCTAGTTTTAAAACTGCTTAATATTTCATTGAGAGTTCTGAATATAAATCTAGGGACAAAAACCTGCCAATACACACACTTACTGCAACTTGGAATGTCAGGTATGTTCTCAGTCAAATCTTTGATATGAAATATTACTATTAATGGAATCTGGTTGACTTCTGATTTACAATGACACCAGGACTGGCTGTTTATGTTGCAGACTCTCCAACTAAAATGCCTATAAAAAATCAGAAAAACATGAGAACTCATAATGGCCTCAGAAGGGAGACTGACAACCAGGGCTACTGTGTATGGTTGAGTAGGCTGTGCTCACTTGCCAAGCCTTGCCTCCTTCAGCCTGTGTCTTCTCAGAGAGGTGTTTTCTAACTCACAGAAGGTACCATAAGAGCAGCTGGAACCCTGTTGACAAACGCCTTAATTCCAGAATTTGAGAATATTGCACTTATTGTAAGAACTGTGAAGCTGAAATGAACATGTACTTTTTTGCTGGAAGGCAAGCAAAGGCATTGGTATGGAAGATAATAAGGAAGCTACCTGCCTTATGGCCCTTACTAGTAACTCCACTACTATGTGTGACAACTAAGAAACATTTTACACCTCTTTGCCCTAATCTCTCCCTTCAGTACCTCTCTATATGACCCATTTTTTAGCTATGGCCTGGTGAATACCAGCAATATCCCAAAGGGAGTGGATAGGTGTGATGTTCTGTATCTAAGCTTGTGAAGCTAATAATGAAAGGGGTTGGGCAGACAGAACTAAGATGTTTATTTCTCTGAGGTTTAGATTTTTGTATATGATTTTTATCAAGAAAAAGACAAATAATAATTTCTGATTAACCAAGAATTCTCCTTTTTAAAGTAACTAACTAGTAAAGGTAAGGAGTCTCACCTCAGCCCAACACCCACAGTGACAAAGTTGATAAATGTCAGCTTCAAGCCAAAAAGTTCGCTGTTGACTGTGCATGTCTATATGTCTTCCAGCTCATATATGTCATCTATGCTGAGGAACTAATAGCAATCAGAGATAATGAGAAGAGCCAAGAACCAAAATCCACACATACATGTAGTAAGAGTGACACAAGACTTGGAACGAGGAAATACAAGAGAAAGCATCCCTTTGAAAAGATTATGCTGTCTGAAAGAGAGTCTTTAAAATGCAAAGAAAGTGAATACTTTGGAAAATGATTTGCTGGAAGCAGAAGTATATTGAGAGACTCTGCTTTGTATTTTCTATGCAAAAAGAGATGAAATATAAGCTACTAGACTAAGATAAGGAGGGAATTAAAGACAAGGTGAAATAAAACCAAAGTTGGATAAGTTAAGCTGTAAACAGAACATGCAATGGCAACATTCACATATGATTCGGACATAATCAAAGACGGAATCAATATTACCGAATAATAAATCAGTGATTAGAGTAAAAGCTTGAAAAACTCTTCCAAACTATGAATGTAAAGTACAAATAGGTGACAACCATTAAGATAAATGGTTGAAAGATTATGCTTCAACTTTTTCCTGAAAAAGAGATTGGGATAAATAGAACAGACGGCAACCACAGATATATCAGCAGCTATCTGAAGTAATACTTTGAACCAATATAACACTTCCTAGAAATGAAAAGGACTCAGTGTGTTTTGAAATACATTAATGACCTATCATGTTAAAAAATGTCAATATTAAATGCTCTATCAATTCATTAATTTACTTAGCAGATATTTTGGGAATATTTGCTATATGATAAGAATTAGGGATAGAAGGATCACTAAGGCAGTCCTAGTGATCCTTAAAAGAACTTGGTGTCCGTAGTGGGTGACATACATACAAGAATCAGGCAATTCTTATACAATGTGGTATTATGATATTACACTAGGGTAAATATATGGTACTCTGAAAACCCATAGTCCAGCCTTGAGAGGGAGAGGGAAGCCTTCTGGTATCTAAAGTATGGAAAAAGTTCTACAAGAATCTAGGTGGAAAAAAAAATAAATTAATTGCAAAGGAAAAAGGACCTAACTTGTCTTCAGCATTAAACTTCAAAAGCTGAATAGAATAACATCTACAGTTGCCTGGCAAATATTTGGCCTATAGCATCTGTCTACTCAAGTTATCATTCGTTCAAGAAAAGGAAAACAAAGACATTCTCAGATACCTCAAGGTTCAAAATCATACCGCCCATTTTCTGAAACAATTGAAGATATACTTCCCTTAAGAAGGAGTCAAAATTAAAAACTCAAGAAAGGTGAAATTCCGATATAAAATAAATATCAGAAAAAATTTGAAATAATTTAAACACAGATCAAGTAAAAACATGTTGCAATTACAAAACAATGAAAAAATGTAATTTTTGACACATAAGATACAAATTATTACCCAATAAATAATTTAATAATAATAATAATATGGTCACAATTTCCTGATTACAGCAACAAA